AGAAACAACGTGAACCCTTCCTAAAGATAGAGAGAATATCGACTAATTCCATGATGTTGAAACACTCTCTGATCAACAGATCTTTGTAAATAACTCAGTCACTTCTATAACCGAAATGAAACCATTGCCTTTAAAATGTGCAGGAGGTAAGTCATCTGGGCCCAGTGATTTGTAGCGCTTTAAGAGTTGGAGTTCCTTGCGGACTTCCATCTGATTTGGTGGATCAGTCGTCACCGGCCATGGAGGGCAGGTTAGTCCGATCGATGCTACCAGAGCAGAAGATCAGTCTAACTGTTCCTAGAAAAACTCTGCCCGTCGTCAAAGACGTCAAAGGATGTTGGTTCGTTTTAATTGTTATTATTCTGGCGGCTGCCATATTGACTGCTCGCTCTTTGATTGTGCGGTTTGATTTTGACTAGGATCGTGCATGTTTTGTTGTAATTTGGAGCACTTTCCAAGATATTGAAACACTGCGTTATAAAAACAGCCGCTCAAACGGAATCTTATTTGATCTATCCAGAAAGGATAGAATAACACCCACCTTTTGTTGTTTTCGGTAATTTCCATATATTTCTTACCACTTTGCTATTCATTGTAATTTAGATTGAATATTTTGGCATCAATTGTCGGTTGAATAACTGGGTGGTAATATTTGTTTAGGTAACTTTGTACATTTGTATATATGATGAAATTTAGAACTGTTGTTACCCAAAACAATTTGTTCTGATTTCGATTGGGTCACGAGTCTACAAACCTATTCCCCCGTTATTTGGCCACATCCAGACCTATTGGAATCTAGGTTTGGATCATACACTTATTGGTCCTTAATCCGCCTAACCCGTCCACTTGAGCCGAGAACACCAATAGCCGCTCTGTAATAGGAATCGTTTATTTCAAGCATAATTTGTTTATATACCAGATAGACAGGCCACATAACACCATAAAATAGAAAATAATACTTGTACAAATCAATCCAAATATGACTGGGAGCGTGGGAGACAATAATCAATAAACCGTGTATAATTTAGGGACAGTAAATCATATAATAATCAATAGGTCGAAATGAAGCTTGTAATAAGACGAATATAGATATAGATAATCTAGTTACTGAATGGTTATGCAATAGGAATATACCTAGAATAATAGTCCAATAATAGGTCCCGTAAGTTATCAGTACTTACTTTATCCCTAGTATATAACACTTCTTTCACTTTCATCCAACTTAATACTTAAGTGTGGTTTTGCGTCAGCTTATTATTCAATTTTTTCACCTTTTCACGTAAAGGCTAGTGTAGCTGTAAATAAATCCCCAAAATCAGTAGCTCTGTAAGTGTTCGACATTCGATTCTGACCACATTAGTTTTAATGAACTCACATAGCTGAATGCACTAGAGCATGCATCCGCACCAGATCACGAGTGGGAAAGCCGTGCTTAACATCCTCTGCAATCACTAGTCAGACTAGATCAATCACTTCTCGATATTTTGATAGTCTATCAAATATCTTCCAACCTCATTGCTTCCGAATTTCGATTTCACTGAGTGGGTGCAATTCAATTATAAAAGGTGTTACTGATAAAGTGTTGTCAAACTACAGTACCTGTGGCAGCCTAAACACTTCTGGACATCCTCTTAAACACATACATTGACTAAGGCCCAGTGCAAAACTAAGGGGTAGCACCCTGGAACTTCAGACATGACATAGCCGGATAGACTGTGGACACAACGTCTGCTTCATAATATTTGTCAAATGCTGGGTTTCGTTGCCGACCGAGCTAGTCCAAGTGACTTTCCAGGAGTCCTTTAAGAGTGTAGCTGTAAATAGTTCCGCGAAAGCAATAGCTCTGTAAGTATTCGACATTGGATGCTAACCACATTAGTTTTAGTGAACTCGTTTAGCTGAAGGTCACAATTAAGCAGTTGCGCACTTTTAACGGTCTTGTAAGTTTCTACAGACGGTTCATACCGAAATAAGCGTCCTTAATGAAACCGTTAACCGACCAACTTCGTGGAAATGCAAAATCAAATAATCTAGACGACACCGCGCGAAAAGCATTCTCTACAGTTAAGGAACATATCACTCAGACAACCCTGTTTGCGCATCAAGACACCCAAGCGCCCATTGGTATCGCAGTAGACGCATCTGACTCAGCAATCGGAGGAGTATGACAACAATGGGTTAACCACTCTTGGCACGCTTTAGGGCTTTTCTCGACACGGTTGCTAGACGCGGAATCTAGGTACAGCACGTTCGGTAGGGAACTCCTAGCCATGTATTGTGCTGTAAGGCATTTCCAACATTTCATCGAAGGAAGAAAATTCACGCTTTTTACCGACCATAAAACTCTTACCTGCTCTTTAAGTTCATTTTCTTATAAGTACTCACCCCGCGAGTCTCGACAACTGGACTACATTTCGCAGTTTACTTCAGATATACAACACATTTCTGGAGGAAACAATGTAGTTGCAGACGCCTTGTCTCGTATAACTTCCTTGAACAGTTTCCAAGGAATCTACCTTCTAAATCTCGTCCAGCTTCAAAAAGAAGATATTGATCTTCAGCACGAGTTATCCCCAACAACTCTAAAACTGCGTATTAAACAGATGGAAACAGGTAAGGAAACCTTATTATGTGACACCTCTACAGTTAGGGATCGACCAATAGTACCAAAGCATTATCGACGCAACGTCTTTAATACGTTGCAAAATCTTTCTCATCCAGTTGTTCGTGCATCCATCAAGCTTATACTCTAACGGATTTGCTGGCCTGGTATGAATAAATACGTGAGGGAGTGGGCACGCTCCTGTGTAAGCTGGCAGAAATCTAAAGACATTGGACACGACAAATGTCCCTTAGGACCTTTCAAAACCCCTGATGCTCGTTTCGGCCATGTTCATCTAGATTTGGTAGGACCCTTACCTGATTCAAACGAATACTCTTATCTTTTAAAGTGCATAGACCGTTTCACACGATGGCCTTGAAGCAGTACTTATTAAGGACATTGCTGCTGAAACACTGGCTCGCGCTTTCGTCGAACGATGGGTAGAAAATTTCGGCTGCCCTTCAACCATCACTACAGACCACGGACGCCAGTTCCAATCTGGACTTTCCGTTGTCTGACCTCACTATTAGGAATCACGCGCATCCGAACGACCACCTACTACCCACAAGCAAACGGTTTGGTAGAACGTTCTCACCGACAACTAGAGGATTCGCTATCAGCTACAAACGTTTCACAATGGACAGACGCTCTTCCACTCGTCTTACTAGGTATCCGCAGTGCAGTGAAAGCTGACATTGGATACACTGCATTACAACTTGTTTATGGAACAACACTCCGATTTCCAGGAGAGGATCCTTCGTCCTCTTCAATGAACATGGATCTAAACTCCTACACGAACAGGCTTCAAACGCAATGGGTTCAGTCAAACCTGACTACACTCGGCCGCAATCAACTGATGTTTTCGTTCAACCTGAATTACGTTATGAAATACATCTCTTCGTACGTCAAAACTCACATCGACAACCCCTCGAATCAACATACTAAGGACTCTTCAAAGTTCTTCAGCGTGAACCTAAGTACTATAGAGTCGATAAGAACGGCACCAACGATAGCATCAGCATCGATCGCCTAAAAGCAGCATATTTAGAAGGAAATCCTATCTGCGTCGATTTTCCTTCAGTTCAATTGAACGACATGGCAGCCGACACGCACGTTGATACTCCATCAGCGCCTGAAAATAAACTTAGGACATCACGTTCTGGAAGAGTAAGATTTCCAGAACGTCTAAACGTTTATTGCACGTAGGATACAAACTTTTATCCCGATTTTCCCTTGCATTATATATTATGAAAAATTTAATATGCTCAATTTTATATATTTATTCCAAAAAAACCCATTTTTTACTAATAAGCGTATATTTAAAAAAACAGAAAAATTGTTCAATCGCTTTTACGCTGTTGCAAGCGTATTGGTTTATTTACCTTTCTTTCCGCTTACCTTGTGTCTTTACTCAAGTACGAGTGTATTTCCGTATGCACTCACACGTTCTACTTTTTTCCTTTTCCAGGACAGCTGGAAAAGAACGATGAAATTTATAATTTGTTTCGCCATTACTATACTGTGGTTTATGGCTTTCATATAAAGGAAAGACAACCAGACGCTGCCCAACATAACAAGCTATCAGAAGAGTGTTTACCAACGACAAGCGCGTTGGGTTTAAACTTCTGGCTAGCAATATCGTAGGGTCATCACTACCTCACTAAGGGGGGTGATCTGTAGCTTTAAATAATTTCCCAAAATCAATGGCTCTGTAAGTAATGGATGCTGATCACATTAGTTTTAGTGAACTTGTCTAGCTGAAGGCACTCGGTCATGCATCCGTACCATATCACGCTACAGCACGGCGTGGGATGCATCTCCTGCGATCAATAGGCAGATTAGATCGGTCACTCCTCGATATGTTGATAATCCATCAAATATATCTTCCATCCTCTAGCTTCTGACTTGTGATTTAAACTAGGTGGACGTGATTCAATTGTAGGTGCTACTGATAAAGAGTTGTCGAACTACAATGCTGGTGGTATCTTCAAGATGAAACGACTTATACTTAAGGATTAAGAATAATATCTCATTAAGATTTACCGGTTTCTTTTTTCTCTGTTATCGTTAATATACATAGGTTCCTGTCTGTAGGTATTGATGATCAACTGGCACTAGACACGGAAGTACATCAAGCGAAAGTTTCGTCTATTACGTCCACAACCATTTAAACCAAGTGAAGTGAGTAGAATTAGTGCACTCGAATGTCTAGATCACCACCTTCTGAACATAACCAACTATCAAGAACCGTACCAAAATAAAAAAAGCGAAAGCAAAGAAACTAATTGGATTACACCAGTTGATGACTAAGAGATTGTTTATTGGACAACAGTACTTTGGCGGACTCACCAACTTTTGACGCTTCGTTGTTTTCATAGTGGTCAAACCTTTAGACTTAATGCCGTCTCCGGGTGGCCGGTTAGTCGACGTGAAAATTTCATTGACTTGTCGCTAAACAGATATGCTTGGTTTCAGTCGGATGGTAATATTTGCATAAATTACTTCAGAAAAAATATGGCATTAACTGATGTTCGAGTAGAAATAGAAAGACGAAAGGTGAGAACACAAAATAATAAATTAAGTTCATAAAGATAGGTCTCTTTGTACCTGACCATTCCCACCGGTGATGAGTTGCTCAAAAAATTTCAGTTGCTTCATGAAGTTGTGCCAGAGGAGTCGTCATACCGTGTCACTGCCACGAAAATCGAAATCAAGTTAAAGAAAGCGGATAAAGTTTGCTGGAGTCATCTGGAATCTCAAGATTGTGTTACTGGTTCAGGAATTCGTAAGTTGAAGTTAGTTAGGGTGCAGTTATAGATTTGTCAAACTATTTTCATGACCTACTTAATGTATTGTAATTCTGTAAACTCTCGAGTGCTGTTCGAATACAGAAATGTTCAAATTAATTCACCGAGTTTTTCGACTAGTGGATAAAAGTTTTCTGTCTCTTGATACTTCTTGAATATGGTTTTGATGAATTCTCGTTTCCAGTTTCATATTTAGTCCTAAGAACAGTGAACTACTTACTCATTGGGCGAAGATATTTCCAGGAGTTTGGTTTCATAAAATTGCAGTATACTTCGTCACAGTTGTACAGTGGGATGCTGCTGATGTGGATAGGACAAGCTTACTTTGTACATAATATAGAAAGGGAGTTATGTAGCCTTCTAATATGGAATGGAAGTTAAAAGAGCAATTACACAGTAACAACTGAAGTATTATAAGTTATTAAATATATATCATTAGTATGTGGTCCGAAGTAGTTGTATTTGGTCAGATTGTTTAACTCATTTATTTACGAGAGTAGACTTTAAATGGTAGTTTAGTGGCTCATTGACCTGACTTCTATTTGAAAAGATGTTTGGATGTGCCATGAATATAAATCTTCAATTTAACTCTGTGTTATACCTAGACTAACCTCGTTTGTGCGACGGTGGCAATAAGCCAAATATGGCTTAGGTTGTATGAATTTATTTCAGGCACTCGTTTGTCCAGAAAGAAATTAAGAGTGAGGAGCGTAGAGGACAAGTTTTCCAACCCAATTTAATTAAGCGTGACCCCATATTTGTAGCCAGACAAATAAGCTAGATAAGTGATAAGTGGAGTGAGTGATACACACATACGCTCATATAAAAAGTCAGGGTTATTAGGCAAGTAATTGACAAGGCGAATATATGACTCTAAGCTAGAATATTTCATGTGGGCTTGGCATAGTACTATACATTACGGTGACACTAGTTGATCGAGTGACTGTGTTAAAATTAACTATTCTTCATATCTACACGTGTTTTACTTTGGTGTTATAGTTTATTAGAGTAGTTTGAAAGGAGTAAAATGTGTTTGCAACTTGAGTTCGTAGTTATCAAGTTTTAGAGTCAATGGGCTAATCATTTTACTTTCTCAATATCTCAGTTACTTATACTTGTATGCCACTCTCTTCATTCATGATGCTGTATTGGCTTACTTGTCAACTTTCTTTGTTCAGTGTTAAGAAGTAGCAATCTAAACGTACTTGCTTTTTGATAAGATTCTGCTTTTTGGTGCAACTGTTCATAACTACGTGTAACCCTGTCCAACGAGTTGTGTTAGGATGGTTTTTGGGTGAACGGTAGTTTGTTGCAATGAATTTTGTGTTTTTTACTAACTCACAGGACAAGCATTTGAAATTGATTATAATGAATTAATCTCTACTATATTGTATGCGATAATACTCTGCTTATTAGTTAGTTACGCTTACTATCAATTTGCTTCAAATAAACTTTGTAAAATAAATATTTCTGTATTTGCCGCGTCTCTAAAATGTATTTATCAGGATGATCTAAGAAACCTACTTCCAAAGTCTAATTTGCGAACCAAGTACATCCAGATAATAAACTCAAAACCCCGTGTAGGATTTATTTTGTCCTACAGATATACTATTAAAACTGTAAACGCGATACTGGTGATCCCAGAGTCTATGTGAAAGCTATAGTCAGAACAAGGACAACTTGGCTTTAAACTTTATCTGTTTCTGAACATAAAAACAATTAGATTAGTACAATAATTAAAGAATTACAGTCATTAATTGAAACGCACAAACATACCGACCAGTATTGCGTGTCTTAATAAAATGAATAAATTTATGAGTCGCACTAATATAATAGGATAATAATGTCCTTCAATTGGTAAGTCACATGCAACAGGGATAGATTACAGACATATCAGATCAGATTGACGTGGTGGGAGCTTAGGCAACGATTTGATTGGTTAGTTATGGACATAACTAACATTCCCCCTCAAGCGGACACCACGTCCAGGCTTCATTACTGTCGCGTCTATATAATCGGCTTCTCCAAAGAGACAGGTTCCGTATATCCCGGCTGATCTCTTCAGTTGCTGTCTTCAGTCGAACTATTCTGACTCGTCCATTTGGACCATAATTGACCCGTCTAACTATAGCTTTCGGCCACAGATTCCTCGGTGAGCCAATATTGTTTACTAACACTAAATCTCCTGGTTGTAAATTCATCCTCATGTCCAACCACTTAGATCTCGCCTGAAGGGTTGGTAGGTACTCCCGTAACCATCTGTTCCAGAATAGGTTGGCTAGTTGTTGAGCTTCCTTCCATCCCCCGTTATATAAGCACGTTTTACTCATCTGCGCTTCGTCGAATGATACACCTCTGAAAACTAACAATAACTTATTTGGCGTAAGTACATCCAGGTCATCACAGTCGTTAACTAGCTTTACGAATGGTCGATTGTTCATTATCCCTTCAATCTCTATTAAAAACATCTCCAAAGACTCGTCCGTCAATACCTTTTGAAACAGTAGTGATTGTAGAACCCTTCTTATCGACTTTATAATGCGTCCCCATACACTGCCTCGATGACTAGCTCTAGGAAGTTTAAAACGCCATTCACAACCTCTTTCTAAAAGAGCATTTGCTATCTTATTCTGGTTCCAACTACACATAATCTGTCTACGATTAGCATTGGCTTTTTTAAATTTATCAGAACCATCCTTACTCTTATTCACAACTCGCACAAAGGCGTCTTTCCCAACACCATGTACAATACCACGGCGAATATGTGCTGTCTGCTTCTTTACGGTCTTATTTACTGACTTCTTTGTTAAAGTGACCTTTGGCTTTTTCGATGTCTTCACTTTCGGCTTGGTGACATTCCTTTTCTTAGGCTTTCTTAGAGTTGTTTTGGGATTATGATCACATGGTGCTTTTATTTTTGGCTTAGCAACCCTGGACTTGGCTAATAAAAAGGAACGATGAACTTGACGCGAGACATCTTTAAAACGAGCATACGCCACAACACCATATGCGAATTCTTTGGCGTTGACAAAGCGATAAATCTGAGTAAGTGGTGGTTTGTATAATCCTAGTACGAGACATCTGGGAAGCAACAGTTTACTTGAGCGCTTCATCAGTCAGTCAGCTACAACGTAGGACCAGGCACATATATGCATCGGTCCAAGTTGCCATACCTCGTTAGCACAACAAGATGAACATTGGATTTATAGAAGTAATTAATTTAATGGTGGTAGTAGTATATAAATTATAGGTTGTATATAAGGATATAGTACAGGAAGGAAGAAAGATATGAAGCAATTTTAATCTCAAGGTTTAAGGGAAGATAAAAAGTGTATACACCTACGCCATTGTGATCGATTCTGAGCCATGTCACCTAGAGTCTCCAACCATTGGCTACGATAGTCACGCGGACCCCAACCAAGTAGTCTGCATCTGCCAACGTGACTCAGACTAGAAGTTAGTGACTTCAAGTACTGACGCCACGTTTTGGTTTGGCCGTCCCTAACTCTCTTCCAACCATCCCCAGTACTAGTCACCATAGCGCGTCGTGGTAATCGGTGTTCAGGCATACGTAACACATGGCCCAACCATCTCAGTCGATGAAGATTCATCACCTCATCAATTGATTTACCATCGTTCCCTAATACCCTGCGTCTAACCTCACTATTACTTACCCGGTGATCCCAGCAGATGCAAGCAATATTTCCAAGGCATCTGTGGTCAAATACTAGTAGCCTACGAGTATCTTCTACTCTTAATGGCCATGTTTCACAGCCATAAAGTAGAACAGAGCGAACTGCTGCGCAGTATACTCGTCCCTTAATTGATAGACGGATATCTCGTCTTCGCCATAGGTGACGTAAGTTGGCAAAAGCCAAACGAGCTTTTCGAATCCGTGCTGAGATTTCGTCAGACACCAACCCATTAGGGCTGATCAGACTTCCAAGATAAGTGAAGTTGTCGACGCGTTCGACTACTTCACTCCCTATCCTTAGTTCGGGTGTTGACGCAGGCCAGTCCTGGAGTAACAATTTACATTTGGATGGGGAGAAACGCATCCCAAACATCCTGGCATTATTACTCAGTTCCAACAAAAGACTGCATTTTGTTAGCGTCTTCACCAAACAGGACTATGTCATCTGCGTATTCTAAGTCGCTTAGTGGTCCCCCTGGTAGGAGATCAATTCCTGAAAATTCAGTTGAAGAGATTGTTATTTACAGCAACAGATCTATAATGAATTTAAACAAAAATGGGGATAGTGGACAGCCTTGACGGACACCACTTGAGGTTGTAAAATCATATGGCAGTTCGCCATAAGCTCTCACTCGACTGGTAGTGTTCGAGTAAAGAGCCTCCACAAGGTTTATGTACTTCTCAGGTACACCTTTCAATGACAGACACTGCCACAGAACCTCTCGGTCTACAGAGTCAAATGCTGCCTTCAAGTCAAGAAAAACTATCATTGTCGGACGCCGATAAGCGTGTCTGTGCTCTAAAACTTGACGAATGGTGAATATGTGGTCGATACAGCCACGACCAGGTCTGAAGCCAGCCTGATTTTCTCGTGTTTGCAGTTCACGAGTCTTAGTTAGGCGCCCGATAATTATTGAGGCTAGTATTTTAGATGCTATGTTGGTCAGACTAATCCCTCTGTGGTTATCGCAGGATGATTTTGACCCCTTTTTATATATTGGGACAATCAGTGATTGTGACCAGTCGGATGGGATTACATCCGTCTCCCAGATTTTAGTCAGAATATTAGTCAACCTAATCGCTAAAATCGGACCACCATATTTAAAGACCTCTGGAGCCAATCCATCTGGACCAGCTGCTCTTCCTCGTTTCAGATTAGTTATAGCCTTTTGAACTTCAAGTAGGGTCGGGAGGCCTACTTCAATGTTCCATTCAGGTTTTCTAGGAATAGTGGGTAGTTGTGCAGTAGCTGAAGGCCAGCTAAACTGCTCCTTAAAGTGTTCCGCCCATCGTTCTAAACGTTTGGGTTGAGAGCAGATAAGGGTTCCGTCTTTTTCGGAGATTGTCTCACTTACACTTGACTTCTTAATTCCGGTTTCTTTTATTAGTCTGAATAGTTGCCTGGTGTTCCCTACAGCCGCTGCCTTTTCCATCTCTTTTGCTTTCGTTGCCCACCACTGCTCACGATCGTTCCTTAGACTTTTAGTTAACCTAGATCTAATTTCTTTACACTCTTCGTCATGTTCAGAGCCTGATGGGATGAGTTTACGCGAATCCATCAGTGAAGCAATCCATTGGTTTTTTGGAGCCCTATGGTTGAAATGACTAATAGATGTTACTGCTGTTTCCGCAGCTGTTCGTATGTCTTTCCAAGCAGCATCTGTGTCAGTCTTGTTTACAGAACTGCCTAGATGTGAACTCAGTTGTTTCTGGAATTCGCATTTGGCTTTCTCGTCCTCCAGTTCAATCCTAATGGGTCTTCTTAGTGTACTTTTCCTGCGTCCATTGAGGCGCAGACAAATGTGCGCTCGTATTAAAGCGTGATCAGAGTCTAAACAAGTATTCCAAAACGAGCGACAATCTTCTATTGAGCCTCTCCAACGATGACTGATGACAATATTGTCTATTTGAGTCCATCGTTGGTTTGGTGCAGGTGGTCGCCATGTTAGACGATGTCTCTCCTTATGTTTAAAATTAGTGCTTGCTAAAAATAAACGATTGTCTGTGCATAGTTGCAACAGACGATCACCCTTATCGGTTCATTGAGCCGGAATACTAAAACACCCACCTAAATGTCTTTCTGTTTGATTCAAGCTGCCTACCTGGGCATTAAAGTCACCCGCTACGACTACTATGTCTGAGCGCTTAGCTTTCTGAAGAAGCTCAGAGAGTTTTCTGTAAAAGTCATCTTTCACTTCATCATGGCTGCAGTCAGTGGGAGCGTAGGCAGAAACGACGAAAAGGCAACGACGTGTGTCCCTATCCTTCCGAGTTCTTACGGAGCCATTTAGCCGGACAGCACACAGGCGACTGTTAACGGGGATCCATTTTAGTAGTGCCTGTTCTGCCCTTGTACTTAGTGCTATGCCTACACCTGCAAGTCCACGAGGACTAGCCAACGGGTCGCCAGATACACGGAGGGTGTATTTCGTTGGCTGTCCATTTTGGCGAGGTGAGGTCAAGTGAATGACCACACTGGGATCCTGTATGCGTGTTTCGGAGACACAACATACATCAATGGTACGAGATTCTAGGGTTTTAGCTAAGGAGGCCTGTTGACCGATTTGGCATAGGGTACGTACGTTGAAGGCTCCAATGTGTAGTTTGGAGTGAGGTTTTAGTAGACCTACGACAGTGTTTTGATCACTAGAATCATTGGCCATGGTGACACTTGAGGAGGAAACCGAGAGAGGAAGTTTAGTGTTGAAAGTCAAGGTAGAAGGAATGGTAGGAATTGAAGAAGGAGATTGATTATGAATACAGTGGTTTTGAATGCTGTTGGAGGTATGAGGGCAGTTATCACTACCCGGTTGCCCACACCATGGAAGGGTTCTCCTAGAGGTACCTGAAAAGGAAATTGGGTTAGAAATGGTCTTAATGACCTGAGAGCGTGACTGCAGTGCCCAAGGGACAACTGCTTGAGGTCGGTCACACACGAACTTTTTGTGTTAGCTCCGTAATTGTTGGGACCTAACCACCGGAGACAGATATCCGTCTTTTTATATTTGAATTCTCGGATCACTTGGTTATATTCTCCCATAGACTGTCTTTTTTACTTCTACTGTCTATTACTCCCCAAGATTGTCTTGTAAACTATCAGTCTAGATTCCATCAGCTTATCCTGCTCTCTGTCGTCAGAAAAAATCAGTTTCTCTTTCCACTTCTAAATTTGATCTTTTATGGAAGTATCTGACTTTTTTACCATTATCGTTTTGTTGAAATGGGATTCGCAAAGCTCTTTATTGGTGTTTTCTTGTTTAATTTTACTCTTATGTGCAAAATGAAGTGAGTGACTGTCGTATATATCAATAAAACCTGTCCTCTATACAGTGGAAGCTGCAGTTATATAGCCATAAGATCAGAAAATACTAATTAATATCCTATTCCTTCAGCATCCTCACTTAGCCGTTATATCAAACAGGTGACACGAAGCACAACTTAAGATTGAAAGTAATTGTCTTTATGCTCCTGTTAAATCGTGGTAACTGTTCGTCAAACCTTGTATCAGAAGTTCGATGTCTTGACTCCCTAAACTCTGATAATATCAGTTATCGAGGTGAAAAAAAGTCAAAGTGGTTGTTTACATGTGAAAAATAGGATATTCGTTAGAATTTGAAGTGTTTATGGATATACTTGGGACATTACTTAAATAATTACCATGTGAAACTGATCTTCTTAGATCTTTGAGAAAAAGAATTATTTTATCTGCCAACCAGACCTATTTTAGTAACTGTTCAGCCTACATAACATCTGTGTGAAGCTGATCGCGCATAACCATTTTTATTTTTACCTTTAAATCATACTCGCATATGTTCCTTTAGACATTGTTTCGGAATACTGATATTGAAGTTGTTAGTTTTTAAAATGGTAACACAAGGAGTATACTATCCTTTTGAGTGGAGCATTTGTAAAGTGTCAAGTAACGTCTGATGATAACGTTCTCTTTGTGATTATAATGACGTCAGTAATGGAATCAATTAAATCTGTCCTATCGATTGAGCTGATTTCTAGCTGGTTGTTTAGCAATGAAATGTTATAACCATTTATCCAATATATATTTCCAAATAAGTTATAGTGATATTGCACATATACTTCAGTATGATATGAAACAACTAATTAACATGAACAGGACACATTATACTTGTTTCAATATTCTAACCAATTATCAACACTGTTGTAGTTACTAGAAAACTTTCAACTTCCCATCTAGGTAACATTTGCATCACAAATGCCTCTGATTTGACTATAAGTAAAATTTTGAGATTATGAAATAAATTTTATTTGTTTGATAATTATGATTATTTAGCAATTATTTATTCAGTCAGTCAGCCATTAGTGACGTTGAACATAATACGAATATACATCTGACTAAGTTGTTGCACTTCATATTAGCAGAAATTCAGGAAACTGCCCTATGAAGATCAAGTGATTCAAAATAAAAATGGTATCCATAATTGTAGAAAAAACTAAAAGCGAGGCATATATTCCAAATAGACTGGATATAATCATGAAAAGAAAGAAATACGAAGTAATACTGAATTTTATGAATTAGGAAGATGAAGAATCAGTCAGTCAGTCACAACGTAGAACTTCGTACGTACGTACATCAGTTCGAGTTGCCATACCACATTAGCACAGAGATGCAGTTGTCCATTCAAATCCCATAGTGGTAGAAGTAGTAGGAGTATAATCAGAAATCCAAAAGATTAGGGGTTTGAAGAAATTATTGAAGGAGTATAGTACAGTGAAATAAATTTGGAAAGAGAAAAAGATAAAGACATGAGGAATTCAGAAGATTAGAATTTGGTAGAACACAAAGAGTGGATGCATCTTCGCCATTGCAAACGATTTTGAGCCATGTCATTCAAGGTCTCTAACCATCGGTTGCTGTCATCTCGCGAATCCCAACCAGGTAGTCTGCACCTACTAACATGGCCCAGTCCACTTGTCAGTGACTTCATTGATTTGTGCCACGTTTTGGTCTGGCCACCCCTAGCTTTCTTCCAACCTACTCCTACACCATGAAACATTGCACGTCGGGGCAGTCGGTGGTCGGGCATACGTAATACATGTCCCAGCCATCTCAACTGATGAAGTTTCACTACTTCATCAATCGATTTGCCATCCCTACCTAGTACTCGTTTCCTAGAAACTGCATTACTTACCCGGTGGTCCCAGGATATACGAGCAATGCTTCGGAGACACCTATGATCGAACACTAGTAGCCTACGAATATCCTCTACTCTTATCGGCCATGTTTCACTGCCATAAAGTAGGACGGAACGAACTGCTGCACAGTAAACCCGTCTTTTGGTTGCTAGACGGATATCTCGCCTACGCCATAAGTGACGCAAGTTGGCGAAAGCTAGACGAGCCTTCTGTATCCGTGCTGAGATTTCGTCACATACCAGACCACAAGGGCTGATGAGACTCCCAAGATAAGTGGAGTGGTCTACACGCTCAACTACTTCCCTCCCTATCATTAGTTCAGGTGTCGATGCAACCCAATCGTGAAGTAACATTTTGCACTTCGAGGGAGAGAAAGTTCAACTCTTGGAGGTTTAGCTGATGAAAGTGCTATCTCTAAAAGTATGTCAATGACAAAGTTAAACAAGAATGGGGAGAGTGGACAACCCTGACGAACGCCACTTGTGGTAATCAGTTCTGATGACAGTTCGCCATAGGCTCTAACTCGACCAGTTGTGCTCGAGTAGAGAGCCTTTATGAGGTTAATGTACTTCTTTGGTACTCCTTTCAGTGACAAACATTGCCATAGAACCTCACGATCAACAGAGTCAAATGCCGCCTTAAGGTCAAGAAATACTAATATTGTGGGACGTCTGAATTTGTGTCTATGTTCTAGAACCTGACGTAGGGTGAATATCTGGTCTATGCAACCACGTCCAGGTCGAAAACCAACCTGGTTTTCTCTAGTCTGCTCGTCACGAGCTTTGGTTAGGCGACCTAGTATTATTGAAGCTAATATTTTAGACACTATATTAGTCAAACTGATCCCTCTGTGATTGTCACAGGAGGACTTTTGTCCTTTCTTATAGACTGGCACAATCAGTGATTGGGACCAGTCAGATGGAATTACGTCCAGTTCCCAGATTCTACCTAAGACCTCAGTCAATCTCACTGCTAGTACTGGACCACCATCCTTAAAAATCTCAGGGGTCAACCTGTCAGGGCCTGCTGCTCTCCCTCGCTTCAGATTTCCTATAGCTTTTTCAACCTCACAGAGGGTTGGAGGACTTACATCAATTTTCCATTCAGGACGACTGGGGATCGTGGGTAATTGAAGTGTGGCTGAAGGCCGGTTGAACTGATCCCTAAAGTGTTCTGCCCATCGATCCAACCTCCTGGATTGAGAATGAATAATATGCCCATCTTTATCTGAGATGGTTTCACTGATATTCGGGTTCCTAATACCGGTTTCTTTAACGAGTCTGAATAGCTGCCTACTGTTACCTATTGCCGCTGCCTTTTCCATCTCCGTTGCTTTCGCTACCCACCACTGTTCACGATCATTACGTAGGCTTCTTATTAGCCTGCGCTTAAGTTGACTCCGCTCTTCGTTATGCTCAGTGCCAGGTGGGATGAGTTTACGAGCATCTATCAGTGCGATAGATGCTGCCGAGATCCATTGTTTCTCCTTAACCTTATGGTTTACCTTATTAGCGGATATCACTGCTGTTTCCACAGCTTTTCGGATGTCATTCCACGCTGCCTCGGGGTGGACACAACTTACATGGCTGCCTAACTGTTTTTCTAGTTGTTCCTGAAATATATTCTTAGCTTGCCTATCATTAAGTAGAACCTTTAGAGGCTTCCCTGCAGTGTCTTTCCTACGTCCAGTAAGACGCAGACAGATACGTGCTCGCACTAGAGCATGATCTGAATCTAAGCATGTGCTCCAGAATGAGCGACAGTCTTCTATCGAGCCCCTCCATCGGTGGCTGATAGCGATGTGATCTAGTTGGGTCCAACGTTGGGACGAATTCGGGGGTCGCCATGTCAAAAGATGTTTTTCCTTATGCTTAAAGTTAGTATTTGCAAGAAATAGGCGGTTATCTGAGCATAGCTGCAACAGACGGTCGCCATTATCTGTTCTTTTCGCCATGACACCGTAAGATCCACCCAGGTGTCTTTCCCTTTCACTTAGTTTACCTACTTGAGCATTAAAGTCACCTGCTACTATTACTATATCAGAACGCCTAGCTTCTAGGAGAAGGTCAGAAAGTTTCCTGTAGAACTCATCTTTTATATCGTCTGAGCTGCAGTCAGTGGGAGAGTAGGCAGAGACGACGAAGAGGCAACGACGAGTTTCCCTATCTTTCCGGGACCTTAGTGATCCGTTTAGTCGGACAGCGCATAGACGACTGTCTACTGGGATCCAGTCTAAAAGAGCTAGTTCTGCCCTACGACTTAATGCTATACCTACTCCAGCGAGGCCACGGGAAACAGCATCATGGCTTCCAGATAGACGAAGCGTGTATCGAGATGAAACTTTATTTTGATTAGGTGCGGTCAAATGAATGACACTACTCGGATGTTGTATGCGCGTTTCGGAGACGCAGCACACATCGATGGTGTAAGATTCTAGAGTCCTAGCTAAGGAAGCCTGTTGTCCTATTTGGCACAATGTTCGGACATTAAAAGTTCCTATATGTAGTTTAGAGCGTGGTTTCAGGAGACCAGGAATAACGTTCTGTGTACTCGAATCGTTTGCCCTAGCGGTGCGACGTGATAAAAGGACGTGGGAAGGGTTAGTCGAGGAGATAACAGAGTTATTAGGTGTAGGAAGGATTTGAAAGCGACCAACTTGGTCTTGTGTGCAGTTAAGGGTATGAGGGCTAGTATCACTTCCCGGTTGCCCACACCGTGGAAGGGTTCTCCTGGGGGTACCTGAAAAAGAAGTTGGATTAGTGTTGGTCTTAACGACCTGGGAGCGTGACCGCAGTGCCCAAGGGACATCTGCTTGAGGCCGGTCACGCACGGCCTTTTTGTGGGGGATTTTTGACGTGTTAGCTCCGTTCTTCAAAAGTCCTTACCGCGCGGAGACGGAAATCCGTGGGATAAGGCGAGGTGTGCATTTTTAGGGTCGATCTTTTCTAACCCCACCCCTCCTTGTGGGAAGGCAGCATCGCTGTCATGCTGGTTGTCTGAAGGAAACACCTTACTGCTTTCACACCTCTGTACAGTCAGCAGTACGACTTCGCCTTCGGACCTTGGGATTGCTGCTTTTAGTCTCACCGCTCTTCAACCGACCTGTCTGGCATGGTAGGACCTTGAGGAACGATTGTTCCAGCCAGCATAGCTCGATCGGATCATCACGATAGGCAAGCCCGACCACCACGTCAAGGTAGCAGCAACGGTCGGGAGGAAGATGAAGAATATATAAATCTGATACATTGCATCTTATGTTGAACGACTTAAGGGTACGAGTCTGTGTAAGAATACTAATGGTGAATTGAACGCTGATACTTCCAGATGACTAGTTCTAAATCGCACATACTACATTATCATATGTTTCGTTGTTATGCCCTATTTAAATACAATGTAAGTGGTATTCATGGTGAATAAATGTCATCTTGTTTTTCTAAACAAAAAGAATAACACTGGTGAATAAAATGAAATTGAATGATAGATGTTTTCAGTCCTAAAAAGCCGGTTAAAGTATAATATACTGACGGCCTCGAGTTGACTAATGATAACGTATTCTTCCTCCCAAATCTTATTGAATAGAGTGTGAAGCGTGCGTGCAGCTACTTCTATGTCTGAATTTAGTGCTTCAGCTGTTATATTCTCAGGTCCTGCTGCTTTCCCACTCTTGATTTGCCTGATATCCATCCTGATTTCTTCGATCGTTGGTGTAGTGACATCTATAGGAAGGTTTGTGTGTGCTGCTTCGATGTCCGGTGTATTCAATCGGGCTGGTCTATTCAACAGTTCCTCGAAGTAGTCTAACCATTTGTTCCTCTGTTCTTGAATCTCAGTGATTGTCTTTCCTTCTTTATCCCTAACCGATCTCTCTGGTCTAATATATTTCCCTGCCGGTTTCTTCGTCGTATTAAATAGTTGTTTCATATTTCCTTCTCTTGCTATGGTTGTTAGAAGGGGTTATAATATCTACAGCATGATAGAACGAGACAAGTGTGTATAAGACTGTATTTATTTATGGGCAGTTTACAATGTCATGCTATGTGTTGTTCGAAAACGGCAGAAAATAAGTTTTCAACGTCATACACTCAAACAAACAAGTACAATCGTTTAGTGATAAATGCACAGATTGTGAAAATAAACAAAATAAGTGCAAAAGATATCAAAAAATACTTGCAAAATAGGTTTTTTAGGCGTATCACCACATAGCTACCCCCAGAAGTCCGGAGGTAACACTGGTTATAATAACAACAAAAAATTGCAAGAATATGGTATATACATGTATAAAAATTAGTATTTACAGTTATGCAATGTCTTTATGTTTAAAATAGCATTGATATAGCGTAGCATAATAAGCACAAAAAAAAATGAAAGTACGGGCATTCAAGGTCTTGGTTTGTTTATGATAATAAAAATGTGCAAAACTGTTAATAGGCTCATAAAGTAAAAGTTTGGATTGTTTATTTTTACGTACAATTAATAAATTATGAACTACAGTTCTCCCATTTATTATTGTGACAATTTTTCTTATTAAAAAAATTGACAAAACAAGTGATTGTGAATGAATGTAATTAGTTATATATAAATGTGAAGAAAAGAAATAGTTTTTATTAGATAATTGAGTAAGTTTAAGCTTGTTATATGTATTAATGAATGTTTTGGATTTTATTAGTCTACAAAATGCACATAACGTTTAGGTTTCTTTATAAGTCTACCGGAACTTGTTAAACAAGAAGGTCTAGTGCTGGAATTTTCATCCTCCTCTTGTTTCACAATAATTGATGCGAGGGATTGTTTATTCACAGTGTTGTCTTCTTTGTCTTGAGAAGCTTCGTAGACATCTGGTTTTATTCTGTCTATAGAGATTGTCTCTTTGTTCCCATTTCTGTTGATAATGAAGTATTTGTAAGTGCGTTTAATTACTTTATAAAGGCCTTCATATGGTTGTTTCAGTGGTTTTTTATCAGAATCTCCTAGAACGAAAACAAATTTGCGCGTTTCAAGATATTTATACGGTTGAACTCGATTGTTATGTTCTCGTGGGGATATTGCTTTGATGTTCTGCATCGTTTGCAATGAACGGCTTACAAAACGAGAAGGATCCCCTGACGTTATAGGTTCTTGATTGACAAGTTGTCATGGTAACGTTAAGGCTGTGCCACAAACTAGTTCGGCAGCTGTACATCCAATATCTTCTCTTATAATTGAACTAATTACGAGGAGTAAGAGCGGCAAAGCATCGCCCCATTTTG